ATAAAGCTGATCCTGCTGGCAACATCTTGTGTAAAAGGTAAAGGTTCCCCTTGACAATTTTTGTCCAGTCGTGTTCGACTCTAGGGGGCGGTGCTCATCCCCATTTCCAAGCCATAGCGCCAGTGTTTTGTCTGAAGACAGTCTTCCGTGGTCACATGGCCAGTACGACTTAGACACGGAACGCTGTTATCTTCCCACCGAGGTGGTCCCTATTAATCTACTCGCATTTGCATGCTTTCGAACCGCTAGGTTGGCGGGAGCTGGGACAAGTGACGGGAGCTCACTCCGTCACATGGATTTGATCTTACGACTGCTTGGTCTTCTGACCCTGCAGCACAGGCTTCTGTGGTTTAGCCCACAGCGCCACCATGTCCCTATCTTGTGTAAAAGTGACCCTTAATCCCAACCAAGTAAATTCTCCTCTTCAAAGGTAAGAACCAAAGCTAGTTAATAGGTCCTATCAGCTGCTGGTTAATTGAATGAATCTTCTTTCACTAATTGAAACTCTTTCTTCCTCCACTTGATCTTTGTTTCAGCCTGAAGTGGATTTAACATAAAAATAGTAAATGGTATCTGTATTGTCAGCTGCAGGAAAATTTTCAAGCATTCCCCCCCCCCGCAGAAAACTACCCATATGAGGATGCAAAGCAAGGAGAATGGGTCTTTCCCCTACTCTTTTTGTTTCCACTGTTGCTCATGATTGTGTTCCTTTCATTTGTACATCGCTGTCTCTAGAAATAATGCCTTTTTGTCTTCTCTCCTGAAAACTGGTGTATGAATAGGGCACATCAAATGCCAACTGTGCAACAGTGTTATTTAGGTGGAAACCAGAGATTGAGGATTAGCATTTGAAGGAATGGTGGGTGAAATTAGCACAAGATTGTGGCCAATGAGGGTCATTTGCATTTTACAGCACAGTGGTAACAGAGAATAAATTCTGCTCCTGAATATTTATTGCTTTTTAATTATGTAGGAAATGTATATATTCTTTAGTTATGTGACATCAAGTCAGAACTGATTTATAGCAACCTTAATAGGGCTTTCAAGTTAAGTGAAATATTTAAGGAGACGGTACCAGGTCTACTCCCTCAGTGAGTTTCCATGATCAAATGGGGATTCAGACCATGTTCTCCAGAGTCTTCTATCCACTACACCGTGGTGGATAGTCCATATATGCTGCTTACCCTATCTAAAAACTATTTTGACTTTAGGCTGTATGTTGTTTGTTGTTGATGGCTGTAGGAACCATAGTTGTTCAGTTTAATCCTAGCTTGTTCAACCATGTGCTCCATTTGCTCTTTATAGCAGATCTTACCTTTTTTTAAAAAAAGGCAGATTTCAGTTTAAAACTTAAAATTTGCCATCATGTTCACTTTGACTGAAGGATGCAGTCCTAGTTTACTTAATCCCAGTGATTGCTGTGAAATGTACATGTGAGTAAACATTTTAGGATCACACAGCATGTTGCTTTATGTATATAGAAATCTGTAGCCTTACATTATGAACATTTCCACCATACTGGAAGTTTATTCACTTTGAGAAGACCAGTGTGAAACCATTTGTAATGAAAGTACAGTAAGGAATGGTTTCCAAACATTTTCTAAAAATACACTAAAACCTTGCTGAACTAAAATTTGGAAGATTGCAAGAAAAGGCATGTTGTCCAATAACAGTATTTATTGCAAAAACCAACTTCAAATAAATAAAAAGAATGGGTGATGTAGTGTTTTGCAGTATTTTTATTGATAATGTTGCTCTTTTATGTTCCTCTGTGTGAAGCAATTTGTCTAATCTCAGCTCATGGTCCTCTCTTTCATATGTCTCTAGATCTTATTACAAGAGGGAGAGAAAATCAATTGCTTAAATGTGTTATGAACACCATGCTTGTCATATCATTCATTTGTTTGCAAAGATGGAAAGCTTAGACCATCCAGAATGTCACCTAAAGAATTTCTATCAGTGCTGTTTGGTTGCAGAAACTGATAGATTAACCTCTTCTCCCTCTGAAATTAGTGATCAATGAGCTTCAGTGTAGAAAAATTCCAGTGGGAAAACGCCTGTTCCCCCTTCTAGTTAAACAATAAACGTCTATTAAAGCCCATTATACATGCTAATACCTGTCACCACTTCATTACTCTGCAGTATTTCCCAGAGTACGTTTTAGCCTAAAGAGTGATGCTATGAGAAAGTGGTACAGGAAAATCATTCTCTGTGACTTAAAATGCAGAAATAAATTGTTTGGCTGTAATAGACTGTTGTGAGGTGTTTATTAGTAGCCAAACCTCAAAAGAGAGACCCATCAGTGTATGTTTTAAAAATCTGCTAAATATCTTTGAATGTTTAAAATTGCCTATTTAAAAGTATGTGTGGATTAGCTCTGAAAGAGTCAAAGTGCATTATAATGTCAATAGAGGGTTTAATGCAAATTTAGACTCTGGCATTATAATTATTGCTATGATTAAGCACATTAGGTGAAAAATACTGTGAAATGGATGAAGAATTTGAGTCCACTTAAAAGAACAATTGTGACTCTTGACTACATTTTTTTGTCAGATTGACTGTAGTCCATAAAGAGACAAGGGCATTGTGATTAAATTTCTGTTATTCCTGAGGGGGTATCCATATTACAACAGTTTGCCTATTTAAGAATTTAAGGGAGAGTTTTATAAGTCTTTCAGGAACTCTGTTTTCATTTTGTTTTCCATCCTTTTAATAACACAAGGCAGAAAAGTCCCTGAAATAGTAATTTTTCTTACCAAGAGTTAGTGGGAAATTGGTAATAATATTCAGTTATTGCAGCCCCCTTAGTCCTTGCTTGTGTTCCCTGTAAGCAGCCATGAATGATTACCACACGACTTAGCAAAGGTAGCCTCTGTGGATGATTGATAGGACATTAATCAAAAGATGCATATCAGCTTCAGAATTTGTTCACAAGCTTTCTTCTAATAGCTGATTTCATGTTCACTGAGCTCTATGCCAGTTTGTTCAATTTATTCTACAGTGTACAAGCCATTCATCATGGAGCACAATGATCTCTCTCTCTGTATGTGTGTGTCTCTTACACACACACACACACACACACACACACACACACACACACACAATCTTTGCCTTCCAGAAACCAGATAATCTAGTGGTTGTAATTATTGTCTTTGGTTCATTCAAATTGAAGTGACTATATATTTTATTATTTTAATCACCCTATACTTGTAAATGTGCTGTGCTAACTTCCTATAGGAGTAAAATAAATCTAATAGATCTAAATCAAGTTACATTCTCTAAGGAATTTAGGGTGGTATAATTTATTGCAATAACAACACAACGAAAAGAGTTGAAGCAGTCAAAAAGAAGCTAGAAACAAAAGAGAATTGCAGAAAAAAATTGAATTGATTTGCAACATATTTCAAGGAAATTTTTAACCGATGGAATCTTCATACTTTTCCATAGAAATAGTGGGAGACTTTTTTATTTTAACTGTTGTAACATCCCCCCTCCAGTTCATCCATTTCCTGTAGCTGCTTACACGAGCTGGAGGAGGGAGACTGTCCTAAACAGAAACATGAAATCTATTTTGTCCATTTTTGCTGGGATCCAGTTCTGGTTTTGCAGCTGTCAAAATATGTTTCTGCTGGTAATTCATCTAAGATCACTCAGTGAGCATCATGGCTGGTGTGAATTTGGAGTCATATGTCTAACCAGTACAACACACTGTCTGTCATGGGATGCAAATAGGAAAATATATTATTGTTTTGTATTATATGATGATACAGCCATATAAAGTGGGTATTTGGAGACTATGATTACCTAGTCTTACTTTCTGTATCATCTCCTTGTGGATACTTTATGACTTAAACCCTCCTGGAAGTGTGGTTTTATTTAACTATCCAAAAAATTAATACATTTTTATTTTAAGTATTGTAGCAATATGTACTATCTATTCTGTTACTGAATGAAAGACTCTGTTGCTGTCATTTATAACACTAATTTATTATTTGGGTAAGTAAAAAACATACATAATTCTTCTTTCATTCAGCTACCTATAGTACTGTAGTATAAATTTGGCCAGAATTGCTATATGATTAGCAAAAAAAAAATTGCAAAGTTATGTACTTTATTCAAATTAGAGAACTAATGCATAATAGATAAATAGGAGGACCTCTGCTGGGGAGGTTTCAGTAAATGAAATCATAGTGTGCAACAAACAATAAGTAAGGATCCTAGGATGAAGTGTCTGTTTTATTTCAAGTTGTTGTTGTTGTTTGATCCCATCAAGTCATCTCTGACCTTATGAATGAGTGACTGAAGATGTTCTTCTGTTAACAGCCCTGAAAACTCAAGGCTATAGCTTCCTTTATTGAGTCATTTGGATTATTAGATGGAAAAAAATGGCAAAGAGCACAGAAAATTATCTAGCACAGGAAGAAGCCCCTTGCACTTACATTCTACCTTCTGGATTGTTTTAGAAGACATTTCTAATTTTATCCGCATTCATCAGATTGTACTGAATCAAAAATTTCCCATGGTGTCTGAGCAGTGATGCAAGTGTGAGCATCACTTGCAAAATAGGGCATTAGATCAAGATCTGATAACCATAGTTTATCATACAGAAACCTTTGTATCTGAACTTGGCCACTCTGTAATCTGAGACAGGACTCCACAGCTTCAGTTTCTTGTAAAATGTCCACTATATCTGACATTCCTTATGAAGCAGTTTCTGTGAAGAAAATATAATTAAATACTACTAAATATTTTCATGACTTGCAAGCGAGTGATGCTACTGACAATGGGTAGTGTGAATAAGTGATACAACTTTTTGCCTTATTTCACCGCTGACTATTCCTGACTATTCAAGTATAATATCATCAGGTTCTATTGCTTTAAACCTTAGAAGCAGAAAATAATTTGTTGCCTTTATTTTGTAGATGCTAATATTTCTTTTCTGCTTGATTCTGTGGTTAGTTTTGCTTATTTTCATTTTCCCCCACCCTCTTATAATACAGCCCAGCTCTGAGTTTCACATACCCACCTACACCAGTATCCCTCCAGCAGATGCACCAGCAAATCATCAGTCGTCAGCAAAGCTTGGGCTCAGCCTTTGGACACAGTCCTCCACTCATCCATCCTGCTCCAACTTTTCCTACTCAGAGGCCTATTCCTGGCATTCCTAGTGTCCTGAACCCTGTCCAGGTCAGTTCGGGTCCATCAGAGTCCATACAGGTAAGAGAACATCAGGAAAGGTATCATACTAATTAATTCTGTGAAGCCAGCCATGTTGTCATGTTAGGAATTAATCATCTCAGCCACTGAACAGATTGGTTAACAAGTACCTTGGGGCTGCGGTATATGCAGTCTTTTATTATAAATTACACAGAGTGTGCCATAGTTAGAAACTGACAGTTTTCAGTCCTTTATAAATATTTCAGTTTTGGATCTTCCCCTTGGAAAATGCTCAAGTACAAAGCATTGGAAACAATGCCATACAAAAGTAAAGGAATGCCAACCCACCGAAGTAAAACTTCCGTCAGCTTTACTAGTCCTGAATGATATTGGAAAGCTGAGATCACATACACATACATAAAGTATTCTTATTGCAAGCACAGGAGACAGCCAGTCTTTTCTTCTGGTTCCATACCGTTGTGTTACATTGAAGGATATTTCAGCGGACTTCAGATTTCAGAAGTGATTTGGTACATGGATCTGTGTGTAAGTGTGTATGTTTTCCTGGGTCCGGATTAAAACAGAAAACAATTGAAAAGGCGTAGTGCATGTTGAAATACTATACACATGTCATGGGTAGTAAGGTTTGTTCCTCCAAAACAGTATAAACTGCATTTTGATCCATAAAGAGAAATAAGTAGGTTCATATAATTGAGAACTGAGCTAATCTAATTCAGAAATTCAGTTTTGGTACTAAAAGTTCAAAACAACATAGTTGAATGATAGGTTATGCTAACATTAAAGGACTCTAACAGTATAAAGTATAATAATGTCATCAGGAACATCAATGTATCCTTACAGAATATTGGCATATAAAAAGAGATGATACATGCAGTGGAGTTATGACACTATATTGAACATGGTTTGTTTGAGAAAATTTCTGTCCTTCTCTATTATAATAAAAACAAATTTAAGCAAGTACTTCTGCTGGCTTTAAAATTTATTTAAAAACAAATATAACTGTATTTAATAAAACATTGAAATATGGCATCCAGACTTCTGTAAAGTAGCCTATTACAAAATAACAAGTCATTGCCATATACTTTCCGTAACTGTACATACAGAAATATTAAAATACAGCACTCAGAATACAGCAGGTATGTATTATGTTGTCTACAAACTAACAGTCATAGCTACACAATTTGTTACTTATCTGCTATTTTGGTGAGCTGGCACAACAATCTGTTAAAAGTGATTTTGTTTTGAATTCCATATGAATCAGGGTTGAAGCAAGCAACAATATAAAATTGAATCCAGCACTGGTTTCTCAGAAATAAAGGCAGTGAATCAGGACTGGGAAATATGTGACTTGAGCCTCTTGAAAATTGCCCTGTAGTCTCAATAATGCATGGGGGTAATTTTGCTATGTTTTGATGGTTTTCAACAAATGTGGGGCATACATGCCCCCAAAATTGTTTTAAAAGTTGGGCCATAAAGGGCAGGCAAGAGCTCTTTAAATAAAGAAGAAAAGCCATTTTTGTAAATATGTACAGTGGTGCCTCGCTTGATGACGTTCATTCATTCCAGCGAAATCACTGTAGAAAGAAAACGTCAAACGAAATAAAAAAAAACCATTGAAACACATTGAAAACTGTTCAATGCTTTCCAATGGACTGAATACCTGCTTGTCCAGCAAAGATTCTCCAGAGGGGCAGCCATTTTCGGCGCCTGTAGTGTGAAAAATCAGTCCTAAAAACAGCGGGGGACCATTTTCTTCAGGCGGCAGCCATTTTGAAACCCAAGGATCAGCTGTTTGCTGATCGGTGTAAAGCGAAAATTGGTTCCTGAAGCAGGGAACTGATGATCGCACGGTGAAAAAACCCCATTTAAACCATCGTTTTGTGATCACTTTTGCGATGTGGTGGCGCTGTGGGCTAAACCGCAGAAGCCTGTGCTGCAGGGTCAGAAGATCGAATCCATGCGACAGAGTGAGTGCCCGTCGCTTGTCCCAGCTCCCGCCAACCTAGCAGTTCGAAAGCATGCAGATGCAAATAAATAGGGACCACCTCGGTGGGAAGGTAACAGTGTTCCGTGTCTAAGTCGCACTGGCCATGTGACCAGGGAAGATTGTCTTCGGACAAAACGCTGGCTCTATGGCTTGGAAACGGGGATGAGCACCGCCCCCAAGAGTTGGACACGACTGGACAAAAAATTGTCAAGGGGAACCTTTACCTTTACCTTTTGCGATCGCAAAAACATCAACATTAAATAGATTCATCGTTAACGAGGTAATCGTCCAGCAGGGCACGACTGTATCTTGAGGGATGGAATCTTGGGAGCAGATATGGCCTTCGGAGACCCATGTGCAGCTCCCAGAGGATTGGGAAGTTGCTCGTTCATACCTTAAGCCTTAGTTATTAGGAAGCTACTGACATTTGTTTCACAAGTGGATGAAAATATAAAATTCTTCCACTGCTTTACATCTCATAAATTCATTTTCCATGTGCATTTTATGATTATTGTTATGAAGAAAGTCTCTAATGACGTAGAAAGACAAATTCAGAGAGTGAATTATAGGGTAGTTTTGCATATGTTATAACTAACTGGCCAAAGAAATTTCCAGAGGAATAGTTGGGACAGTCTGTAATGTGTTGAGGAGAAAAAGAAAAAAAATAGTCTTGTGGCACATTAAAGAGTAACCTAACAGTTATGTGGCACTTGCAATCTACTTGTGTTATTTTGCTTGCTGAATAAAACTTCTTAATCTTTAAGATGCGATAAGACTGTTTGTTGCTTCTCCTGCAGCTCAAAAAAATACAATTGGACCTATGTCTGATAGAATATCATTGGTCTTATTCTCATTATGTCTTTTGTGATATAAATATTTATAGCAGAGCAAACCGACAAGCGAGTCAGCAGTGAGCAGCACAGGGGATCCAATGCATAACAAGCGTTCCAAGATAAAACCTGATGATGACCTCCCCAGCCCATGTGCAGGAAGTATGCAGGTAAAAAGTCCAGGATCCACAGATAATCTCTTTTCTCTTAATTTTTAATCAGTTGGACATTACTTGGCATATGGTGTGGCCTCACAGCACAGAACTGAGTATCTCACTCTGATGCTACCCTGTTTCCCCGAAAATGAGACCTAACCTCAAAATAAGCCCTAGCATGATTTTTCAGGATGCTCCCAATATAAGCCCTACCCCCAAAATAAGCCCCAGTCACGTGAAACCCCGCCCGCCACCATTGTGCAGCAACCAGAAGGTGACATGATTGTATCTGAATAAATGTACATTGTTGTACATGAAAAAAATAAATAAAACATCTCCTGAAAATAAGCCCTAATGAGTTTTTTTGGAACCAAAATTAATATAAGGCCCTGTCTTATTTTCAGGGAAACATGGTATCAGATCTTACATAGGATTGAACATGGGTAGTTGTTGCTTGCTGAGCTTGACCAACTTTGAATCCAGTACATCACACTCCAGGATCTTGTAATGGTCTAGAAAGGAGGCTTAATTCAGACAAAATAGAAGGTCATCCAAAATGCAGATGAAGGAATAGATATTCAACCTGTGTTAAATTGGTTTATACTTCCCTTGAAGTCTCAGGTTTGTCTTTTGGGTGCCCTCCTAGACTTAGGTCTTGGTAACAGCCACAAATGTTTTTGCGCAGCTGATTTTGCACCCAGTTCTAGAAGTGTCAGATCTAACCACAGTGACATTTAGCTTGGTTAAATCCAGTTTAGACTATTGTAATGTGCTCCATATAGGGATGCCTTTCAAAAATACATAGAAACTTCAGCTAGTGTAGAATGCTCTCGCAAGAAAGTAGCTACAAGGTTGCAAACAGAAGTTATGAGACCAGTCATATTGGTAAGTCTTTATAGCTGGTAACAAACTCTGACACTCTTCACTAAAGGAGGCTAAGATAGGTTTTCTACCTGCTGTTTTTCTGACAACATGTAAAGATACTTTTGTTCAGACAGGTCTCTGGCACTTAAGCTGGTTTGTTCTTCAGAGAAGATTTAACTAATCAGCTGCAATTTATTTCTTTTTATTGTTGTGTTTTAAACTGATAGACTAATTTATATTAATGTTTCAACTGAGTTTCTGTTTTTAATGCTTTTTATTCTTTATTATTCTTACCTTCTCTGAGACCTATTTTTATGGTATAGTGATTTATAACTTCAATAAGTTAAAAAATGTATGACAGATGTATTCAGGTGTATGGGTACATGGGTTCTGTATCCTACCGGTAAATTGCCCGTTTTGAGAAAAGCAGGCCAAACTGTTTTTAAGTAAGGACTTTCTAAGAAAAATAACTCTGGCCCATTGTGACAATATATACTTCTGCTTCAGTTAAATTGTAGCTCTTAGCAGCTAAAATGCCACAGTTTGGAGGTCCATTGGTAGTGTCATGAACCCCATGTTGCTTGGACAGCACCTGCGTTTGGCTGATGATCACTGATAAAAGTTCCTTAAGCACAGGATCAATATCTTGAGAAGATTATTGGCACAGTTGCTTCTAAAACAGTTTTGTAACACACCTTTGGCATCCTTGTTTTAGAAGCTGCAAACTGTGACTTTCCACAAAGCTGATATTTGACTTTTGGAACTGGCCATCAAAGAAGAACAACATGGTAACCTAGGTTCAGGTTTTGACATGACAATGAATGAAAATAATGCAGTACCTCTACAGAAATTTCCATTTTCTGTTCTTTAGTTTACAAAAATAATTTAAGACTTTTGGATTTTATATGACCATTAAATGAGCAGATAAAACCTGGAAGAAGTTTATTCTCCACACTTGTTAATTTTTGAAGCAGAGTAATATGTTTCTCCTTTTTCTCCTACTCTCCCTCTTTCCACCTACTCCTAAATTTTGCGGCCAGGAACCACCTGAAGGAATGACCTTAGTAAAAGAGGAAGGGGACAAAGATGAAAGCAAGCAAGAGCCTGAAGTAGTCTATGAGACAAACTGCCATTGGGAAGGCTGTTCACGAGAGTTCGACACGCAGGAGCAGCTAGTGCATGTAAGTTAATAGCATTCAGGAACTGGGTTTGAAAGCTAGGCAACCTTTTCTGCAAGGTCAGGTTCTCTGACCCTTTGCTGAGTCAAGTTTCTTTGCGAACACCATTGCTGACCAAAGAGAGGTTTGTGACTTTCTGCGAATAAAGCAAAACTCTGAGCTATAGTGTTTGACCTGTTCAGTCAGCTAAAGCTTAGTGTAAAATTCAATAAAGTCTTCAACAGAGAGTGAAATAGCTCTGATCCTGTAAGCCACAAAATACTATTTTGGATCAGAGGCTTTGATAGTTATTGAGTAATAATAAACTGGACATGAGTTATTATTAACCTCTTGCCAAGTTTGAAACCCCCTGCTCCCATCTCTTTTAAATGGAACTGTAACAATAAGAAAGAGAGAGAAGGAAATTCCCTACCACCCCCTTAAAGATTTGTGATATATTTTATATCAATTTTCAGCCAAGGTAGATTACTTTGTGGAAGAAGAGGACATTGCATTACCTTAGTTCAGATGAAGAAAAGTTACCATGCATAGCGGAATTAATGGGGGGAAAAACATACCAGTGTCAAAGTAGCATCTAATAGCTCATCTGCTTCCCACTTTTTTTGTATGTTTCATATATTATAAAATGAATGTCCAGACTTTAATAAATGTCAACATTCACATGTAAAGGTTGATTAAGAACATGTTTTTTTCTCAGTTTTTGGGACATGTGTTCATTGTAACAACTATCTTTAGCGAATTGTTTCTTGTTATTATTGTATCTCTGAATTTCTGAAGAATCACCACATTTGCAAAGGATTATAAGCATTTGTGTGAGATAATCAGTATAGACCAACTTTGTGGCATAAACTGTGACGTATGCTATAAGCTTGAGTTTTGGGGTAGGAGATGTTTAATAGTTAAATTAATGCTGCAGTCCTATACACCCCTGAGAATTTGCCCCATTGTATTGTGTGGGGTTTGCTTCTGAAGCATGAATATGATTGTGTATGTATACTTACCTGGCTATCCTTTTTATTTGCTTACTAATTTGTTAAAACCTTCAGTGAAAAAATTTATCTGGCATGTTTGTCGACCATTACTGATATATTTTAATTACTTATTCTAAAAGATAAATGTGTTATATTTCTATCTCTTGTTTCCTATAAGAAACTGAAAATAGAATCTTGGCTTCACAACAAGCTTGTGATGGAGACTGCCTCTTAAAATCAAGGGTACTCTAGCATATGATATGATCAATCAACCACTAGTTAACTGTAAAACTCTACATCTGCAGTTTTTTTAACTGTTCTATAGAAACTCACATGCTATTCTTTGACATGCAGCATAATAATGGCAGATAAGTTACGTACTGTCATCGTTGTTCCTCTTCTGAGACACATACTCTGTAGCACGTAATTAGTCCTAACCAGTGTCTGAAAGTTGGGTGTGCCTTCTAAGATCACTGATACTGATCAACTAGACAGAATAAAATGTTGCTTATTATTTTTATCCTATAACTCTCATCTCTTGAACAGCGAGGCGGAATAGAACCAAAACTTATGCTGAATTGATATCTGGGCAGACTCTTTCTATGAGGAGATAAGCAGAATACATATGCAACCACAAAATTGGTCACTCCACCTAGGATAATCTCAATACTGTAGCACAAGTTAATAATTAGTGCTTGCTTTCGAGTGCTGTGTGCCATTTAGAACTCAGCTGAGTTAAAATGTTCATGATGCATGCTCTAAGAGACAATGTTTTAAACTATTCAAATTGTCGGCCCTATTTATAACACCTATCCATCCTTTCCCTTTACCACCACCCCCATCCCTGCCATCACCTTCCCTCTCCTTTACAGTTAATAGAAAGATTCATGATTCTTCATGGTTGTCTATCTAGTGTCTGACAGCGCTGACTCTCTTTGCTAAAGCAACTCACTATCTATAATTGATATCCTTCTAAGGAATGGGGTGCTGACTGCAATTGAAGGGCTTTGCTGAAAGCTCTTAAATCCTGACAAGTTCTGCCCTTGTTCTGGTTCAGTCGCTGAGCTACACTGCTGGAATTCCAGGGTTATTTGAACTTTGTGCAAAAGCAATGCATGTGTTTCTCATTAGCAAATCACAAAGTTAGAGACCAGAACTATGACCTGGACTGCTGGGTTTCCTGCCAGTCTCATTTACAATGCATGGAACCCCTGAAAAGACTGCCGACTTATATTACTCTTTGAAAATCTTGCTTGCTTTCTTGTGGAAAAACTCCAACAAAAAGCCCTTATTTATTTTGCAGATTCAGTTTGCTGTTGGGCTCTTTATCATTTTGTTCTTTAATTAATTTCTCTATACGCAAGATATTATAATTGGGCTGAGCAGTGTGCACGTTTCTTTTAAATACAGGATACATCTACAGTACTTTTGCACCCAGAAGCTAAAACAGTTTCCCACCTTTTCCCTTAAGTCTTCTCATGGAGCTTCAGCTTTCCTCCCAGTTCTCTGTTAAATTACAAGGAAGACAAAACATTACTGGAGAGTGGGGAGGTTAGGCATTGAGATAAGCGTCTGTTTAGGAAAATCACCCCCAAAAGAAAAATGCTAATGTTGTTGTTAAAGATGAATACAATGGCAGTGAGAAAACTGAAATTCAGTCTTATTTATTTTCTCTTGTTGTGAGGATCTAGTAGCAACTTTTTAAAAATGTAAACTGTATATTTGAATTATGGTATACAATGAGAGTACAGTGGACCCTCAACTTACAGATGGCTCGACTTACAGACTTTTCGAGTTACAGACTTCTCTGGCCACAAAATTAAGGTTCAACTTGCAGACTGAGAATCGACCTACAGACCTGAAAAAAAATAAATGGAACAAAAACGGCTGGTTACGGGATTAATCGGTTTTTAATGCATTGTAGGTCAATGGAGACTCGACCTACAGACTTTTCGACCTGCAGCCACCGTTCCAATACGGATTCATTCCGTAAGTGGAGGGTCCACTGTATACGGTATGGTATACGGTATACAATGAGAGTATATATTTATTTTTGTTAATATTTTATATTGATTTCATAATAGAAAATATCTGATGAATGCTTGATTGCATAGTAGAAAAGATGGGGAGACTAGTAATTAGATGCCTCAACTAGGTTTTAAGACTTTTCTATTTTCAAATGAGAAATTTAGTGGCTTCAGTCTAGTTCAAATTGTGCTTTGTTGTATGGAACTGGTGATTCTGGATGGGTATAAGATACGTTCATCACATTAAATGGAATATGAATTAGCATTTTAGTATGTGTATAAGGCAGGCAGAGATCTGCTGTTTTTAAATGTGTCACCCAAATGAAGAAAATGTTTCAAATGGGTTTTAGTAGCCTAAAACAGTGGTTCTTAACCTTGGGTTACTCTGGTGTATTTGAACTGCAACTCCGAGAAACCCCAGCCAGCAGAGCTGGTGGTGAAGGCTTCTGGGAGTTGCAGTCCAAAAACACCAGAGTAACCCAAGGTTAAGAACCACTGGCCTAAAAGGTATGTGTAGCCTGCATAATTAAATTGTAAACCGCCCAGAGAGTGCTTGAAGCACTATGGGGCGGTATATAAGCAGCACGCTTTTAGTAGAGCCCTTGATTAGTCAGTTGATTCCATTCTGGGTAAAGATTTCTGAAGCAAGAAACATGATTCCTTTGTTCTTGTAACAGACAATATCATAGAAGCGGCATTCCCTCTGTGTGAAGAAAAAGTCGGAATGCCCACTTTGAGATAGTGCGTGCCTTTTGCTTTTTAAATGAACACTTAAATCTAATATATTTCCTTTCAAAAATATCCTGCTTTATTAATCTGGGGTATCCTGTTACTTAAATTATAGCTTTTTATCAAAATGACCCAGAAAAGTTTGCAACTCTAATTTGCATTCTTTTAAAAATGAGTAATTGTACGTCCAACCTTTGTAAAGGTGTAATGTTTTTAAATTTTGAATCTTGGGCAAATCAAGGAACTTGACTTGACTAAAGCAAAACTCCAAGATCTGAAGAAGACAAAAACCCAACATGTCCCTAATTTGCCCTCCTGCTTATGTAAATTAATCCTGATCTATGACTGGATACTCTTCTGTGATCTTGGTTGCCACTGGTTTGAGAGACACCTCAGGTTCAGACAGTATCAATCCGAGGCTCAGAATGGTTATGTTGGTGACAAGCATATTCAAGAAAAGGTTTCTAAGTTTTATTATAGTAAACTTTTCTTGAAGCTTTGGGAGGTACTTCTTATACTGTCCAGAGGATTTTATGTTGACAAATACACATTCTCTGTGCTTGAAATCACGGTTAGAAGATGAGCAGATTATCATTCTTTTGTCTTTTCTTCATTTATTTTATTCTGCTAAACTGATATACACCAGGTGCTCTATCAGGCAATGAAATCAGCTCTGAAACAACTAATGTAGTAAAAACATATTTGCCAGTTTGTACTGTGTTGCTCCCAAACCCTGCATAATGCATCCCACTCAATTTGCTTGTCATTGTGAAATTGCTGCCAGTAATCTCATTTACCCAAGAATGGCCACTTCTATAATCTGTAATGGCCAGTAAACTCCTGACTGGTTTTCTGTAGGAATGTATCTGGACCGAGCTGTTAGTCCAATATATAGTTTGTTTTCAGAGGGCTGTGCCTTTTCTATTTGTAATACAGAGGAGAGATGCATTATGGGATTATACACTGTTAGTTGAGAGCAAGGAATTTCCAAGAGGAATGTGTGGTTGTGTGTATGAGACAGAGGGACTCTCCCTCTTCTTGTTCAGTGGTCTGTAGTGATTCCTAAAGGGACAACTCATAGTGGACAGTGGCTAATTGCAGGATGACACATCTCCTCCAAGCTGCTGCTTCATTTTTGTAACACTAGGCAACAGTGGCCAGAGTTTAAAAACAACAACCTCTAACTGTCAGGCTTTCCAAGTCTGTCTCTGTACCAGATTTCTGTGTTGTTGCTATGGTTTGGTAAGAGCAAAAAGGCAAAACTTTGCTCTCCCAA